CAGTTGTTTTTGACTACTTTTTTAAAACAGTAGCTGTAGTTATAGCGAACTACATTTTGCCTAAAAGTAGCCAAGTAGTTGACTACTTTTCAAAAAGTGAATCGCTATTCGCTACATTTTAAAATTGTTAGCAACTTGATAGAATAGCATGATATTGAGACACGGTTTGCTTAAAATCAATCCTTAATAGTCAATTATTTGCACTCTCGAAGAGCGTACGTAGTGCTTACAAAAATGTTGCTTTGTGTTTACTGTTGCTACTCGTAAGGCGATTTGTTATAGGTTTTTCATTACAGCCTGAGTTAGTAGATGCTCCAAATACAGTAAAACTAAAAAATATAGTGTAGCAAAATAGTTCGCTACATTTTTTAAGCAGTAGCTGTAGTCAGTAGCTAACTATCTTTGTTCAAAAGTAGCAGTAGTTGTAGCTGACTACATATTTTTGAAGTAGCTGTAGTTATAGCAAACTACAAATATTTTGTAGTCAACCCACTCTTGCTGCACTGGCACAGACAATTCAAGATTAAAATAAGGTAAATGATGAGATTTGAACAAGTCATAAAGGTATAGTAGCTTCATTAATACTGGTATTTTAAATTTTGATGTCCCAGTTTAGAATTTACCTCATTGTTTCCATTATACCAAGAGCACTTTCCATGTCCCTGGAAATGAAATACAAGATGCTGCTAGATTGCAAGAAACACCTAAATTAAAGGATATATTCAACTTGGGAAATACCAACCCGCTTCGGCTGTAGCCAGTGATGAGTGATGCATAAACCTGTTCGGTGACTGGAATGTCTAGTGTCTTCATCATTCCCAACATTTCACTGGATGGAAAGATCAAACATTAGAAAGTATTAAACCATTTTAGCAACATCTGGTTGGATACAGCTTGAATGCAAATAATACTTCATGTTTCAACTTGTGAAAAAACTATCTTGAAGTCATCATTTCAAATCAACTCACAGTGATCCGATCATATCTCCATTTTCACAGAATGCTTGAATGAAAAGCACTAAGGTTGTCTAAAATTTTAAAAATGATAAAATTTACATCTGGATGGGATTGGCAAACAAAAAATATTTAATCAATTATTGACAAAGAATTAATGAGAAGGATTTAATCAATTACCACACAGTCGTGTAAACATCTCACAGCCTGTCACAACAAGATGTGTTCCTAACAGGCTCATAGCAAGCTTGTCAACAACTTGTAACAATGCTGTTATTTTACAAAGTTGCTATAAGCAGGGCCGTCCCGAAGGACTCGCTTCAGGGGGGTGTTTGGTTAAATCTACCTGAAAGACCTCCCCCCCCGGTTGCCAAAAAATTTTAGGTCAGTGTACCATTTTAGGGGTCAAAAAATTTTTCCAGACACACCAACATTTTTCGTAACATAACAAATTTTTTCCAGACAACTATTTTCTCCATTTATCCAAAAAAATTTTCTAAAATCAAAAAATTTTGTATAATTTTCTAAAATTTTTGTAAATTTACCTCATTCTTTTCCAAATTCACAATTATTTTTGTAAATAACTTTCTCTGGGCCCAGAAATTACCTGAATTTGTGTTCATTTACCTGAATTTCTTCTGCAAATCTACCTGGATTTACCTGAAATTGCCCACATGAGCAATTATTGGGGTGTTAACCCCACGCCTGGTCGGTACGGCCCTGGCTATAAGGTTGTCACAAGTCACAACTTGTTGACAAATTGTTGAATTGCAGGATGATAACAAGTTGTTGGAACAACATGTAACAAGTCTGTTGAGCTCAACAACCTTGCATATAGCAACTTGTCAACAAGCTGGGAACAACCAAGGGTGGGTAGTAGCAAAGTAGTTGTAGTTCGCTACTGTAGCGAACTACAATTTTCAAGTACCCAGTAGTTTTTTACTACTTTTTTAAAACAGTAGTTGTAGTTGTAGCGAACTACATTTTGCCTGAAAGTAGCCAAATAGTAGACTACTTTTCAAACAGTGAATCGCTATTCGCTAGTTTTTAAAATTGTTAGCAACCGTTCATAGAATAGAATGATGATAAGACACGGTTTGCTTAAAAGATTATTTTATACAGTAAAGATTATTTTAGCGCAATGAAAAGTGGCACTCCTGAACACTGTAGTGCTTATAAAAATGTTGCTTTGAGCCTTTTTGTTTACTGTTGCTACTCGTAAGTCGATTTGTTATAGGTTATATTACAGCCTGAGCTAGTGGATGCTCCAAATACTGTAAAACTAAAAAATATCGAGTAGCGAAATAGTGAAATAGTTGGCTACATTTTTTAAGCAGTAGCTGTAGTCAGTAGCGAACTACATTTGTTCAAAAGTAGCAGTAGTTGTAGCTGACTACATATTTTTGAAGTAGCTGTAGTTATAGCGAACTACAAAAATTTTGTAGTCAACCCACCCTTGGAAACAAGCAATGCAAACACATCCTGTTGGCAAGTTGTTGGAACAGCATTGCTACAAGTCTGTTGCAGGTTTGTTACAACTTGTGCATTTTTATGTGTGTAATACAAATTTGACCCAATGGCTCTGAAACAGAAAATTGGGATTCCTACTTGATTAGGTTCAACACCACCACTCTTCATTTCTTCCAAGATTTCCACTGGACTGAATGAATGATAATTTTGTAGATATACTGAGAGCAACACATTGTAATGACTCACATCAAAATGGATACCTAGGAAATTATTGACTGTTTAATTGCGTTGGCCCACTTAACAATGCCTTTTGATGGATTCTAGTATAAATCAAAGATACCTTTCTCTTTCAGTTCAGACCAAAAACGTTTCACGAGCTTAGTTCGTTCCTCTGGCATACATGTGAACAGCTGATTGCCACAATTTCTGATCAATTGATAAACTAACAATGGCGGTACATCTCGTTCTAAGTAATAGAATAGCGGAAATTTTTTACACTTTACTGTACCAGAGTAATCACTGAATACATATGCCATCAAACATGCCATAAAAGAACGAAAAAACTCGCCATCATAAAACTCGCCATCAAAACACACACCATCAAACACATGCGGTACACAGGTACGCTAAACTGTAAAGTACGCTTCCTAGCCAGTGCACTTACCAGAGGCATTCACCTCCCCCCCCCCCAGACACCTGACATTTTAAATATTTTCAGGGGGGTGAATGCCTCTCATAAGTGCAGTGGCTAGGAACATTTGCGACAGCATTGCAACAGTTACGCCAAAATCATGGGCAAAGCCTAGAAGTTAGCTGTCTGCAAGGTCTCTGTTCTGTGTTACCACCCCATTCCTTTCCCAGTACCAGAACCAAGGGCCTGACTCGTCCCCAGTCGTCTCTGTGTTTCAAGCGCGGACAGAAGCAGGAAAGGTAGCAAGAGCATGCAGGTGGTGAGCACACACGCTAGGAGCACCAGGAATCTCCTGTTGCGCCGCCTGCATCTAAATTGTGCTTCCACCCGTCATCTTTCCTGCTTCCACCCGCGCTTGAAACAGAGTATTCCACCCACGCTTTAAACAGAGCAACACAGAGACGACTGGGGACAAGTCAGTCAGTCAGACCAAGGGTTACAATCTGTTGATCTTTGATGGGCCAAAATCCCCACCAAATGATCTGTGACAATTTCAATTTAAAAATACCTTTACCCTCTTCTATTCAGAAAGAGATTTTCTTTACAGTATTCAAATCTCCTTAATATGGAGGGTAAACTTATTGAATAAAATACCACAATACAAAGAAAATTATACCATGAGTCCATGATGCAATAATTTACATGTCAAAATATACCTTCGGCATTTTTGATAACTTGAAAAGCTTGTAACAATGTTTCTTCATGTCTGACCGAGCCAAGACGTTGAGAAATATGATGAAGATCATTGGACGAACTACTAATCAATTCAGACTCATCACTTTCGCTTGATATAGCTCCTACTTCGCTCTGACCACTCTGTGCGCTCGTGGTAGCCGAGTTAGGATTATCAATGACAGTTTGCGTGTAACTACAGAAGTATTTCGAGCTTAAATCTACCTTCCATTCAACTTTAAGGTTCTTTCTTAGCAGAGGAGATAATACGGCTTGCTGTGCTGGACGAGAACGCAACGAAAACGCTGTTAAACTTCGCAAAGTCACTCTTGAACATTGTCGCACAATGGCAGCCATTTTGTTAGAAATTACCATTGGAAATTCCTCGTGGACCACACGTGTTTAAATTTCAAATCGCGCGGGCCTGCGAACAGACGTTGAAATACCGTCATTGGCATCAAGGATGAACAGGCGCAGATAGGATCGCATCGTACCCAGGCTGTTTCCCTGGTCCCAAAAAGACCATAGGTACGAGGACGATTCACCAGACGGACTGATAAAATAGACTCCACATTTCTATCTGCGACTGTTCTTCCTAGATACAAAAGTTGAAACGTGCCATCTAGATAGTATGATCGCTAGATAGTATACTTCAAAATAAGGTTTCCGTTTTTGCAACGTAGAAAAAACTATCCTAACACAAAACTAAACCCTAACCCTAATACTAACCCTTACCCTAACCTAACCTAACCCCTAACCTAACCCTAACTTATTTTAAAAATTGATATAAAAGCGGAAACCTTATTTTGAAGTATACTATCTAGCAATTGCCTAGGGTCTAGAGGACAACTGTGGATATCGATTGAAAGAGATAAAACTATCTGAAAATATAACCAGAACTTCAACGTTTCGAGTGAATGCCCTTCTTCACCCAGAAGCCCTGTTACGCACGTCCCCTGTCAATCTAGTGTTACTACGCAAGTCGAACTGGACAGTGGGTCCAGCTCTATCAGTTCAAAACTGTTCTCTCTTATAGTCCAGTAAACTCCATTCCTTGTCTCCAGTGAGGAAATCAGAGTATAGGAGTAAACCTGTGGTGTTTGGTAAACTGGGAATAGTGAAATCAGTTAATCAGGCAACTACCTGATGCGAACACCGTGAAAAAAGCCAATTTCTGTACTATTTTATGAAAATGAAAGCAACACACACTACAAACGAGAGTATACCATGTGTTATTTGCACCACTAGAACACAATATAAAATCAAATCCTTTTTTTTCAGTCTATTTCAAATAATGTCAAATAATATAGTGCGAGAGAGCCACATTTAACTAAATGCTATACGTGTTTGGACAGAATAAATTGACAACTACTAACACCGTCTCTCGTCACCGTCGTTCGCTGTATGATTTAATCACAAATATATCAAATGTCTTTTCTAAAGCTTGAATAGAAAAAATCTCCACGATTCCATACAGTATATATCGCCGTCTACGAAGCCGATTTCTCTTCGGCGATCGCTAAAACAAAAAGAGCATTTCTTATAGATCCAGTTTTATTATTTATACCAGATGCAGTAGCTCTATCAGTTCAAAATCATTCCTTCCTAGAGGCTGAGTAAGTGTCATGCCTTATTGATCCAGTGTTACTACAGGAGGAAACCTAAACTAAACTAACTTTATTTCTACTGAATAGCTCTATCAGTTCTAAACTCTTCTCGCGAGGTCCAGTAATGATCACCTCTTATTGATTCAGTGTTACCACAGGAGGAAACCTAAACTAAACTAACTTTATTTATACTGAATAGCTCTATCAGTTCTAAACTCTTCTCTCTAGAGATCCAGTAATTGCAATCCCTTATTGATTCAGTGTTACTACAGGAAGAAAATTAAATTTACCAAAGCATACTTACACTTAGCGTCGGGCAAAGGATTCTTTTCCTTAGTTTCTACATGCTGTAGTTTAGATTTGTCAAACGATTTCACCTCCGCCCTTGAGTTAACGAGTTCCTCACGAATTGCTGAAGAAATTAAAAATAAAATATAAGCAACTTACTGCAGCTACTAAAGTGAAATATGAAATAAGGTTTAAAAACATCTAGTACCATCTTTGTCAGGTATAACGTTCTTTTCTTTTGTTTCTACATGTTTAAGGTTTCCTTTTGGGAAATCAGCGACTGCAGATCTATCTGGGAGATTGTTTGGTCGAAGAGCTTCCGCTAGTGCTGTAAGGAAGAGAAGATTTTCACTCAGAACCTCCTTACGAGAGGTTTCCATAAGGAGGTCACGTTTTAGAGAGGGAGTTTTTAGAGGAGGACAAAGGGGGGCGAGTGTTTATTAGAGAGGGGTACTTATTAGATAGGGACATGCTTATTAGAGCGGGGTGCGTATTGGAGAGGGGATGCTTATTAGAGAGGGATGCTTATTAGATAGGGGTGCTAATTAGAGAGTGGGGTGTTTATTAGAGAGTGGGGTGCATATTAGAAAGGGGGTGCTTACTACAAAGAGGGGTGCTTATTAAAGGGGGAGTGCTTATTAGAGAGGGGTCCTTATTAGAAAGGGACATGCTTATTAGAGGGGGGTGCGTAGTGCTTATTAGAGAGGGACATGCTTATTAGAGGGGGGTGCGTATTAGAGAGGGGATGCTTATTAGAGAGGGGATGCTTATTAGAGAGGGATGCTTATTAGATAGGGGTGCTAATTAGAGAGTGGGGTGTTTATTAGAGAGTGGGGTGTTTACTAGAGAGTGGGGTGTATATTAGAAAGGGGGTGCTTACTACAGAGAGGGGTGCTTATTAAAGGGGGAGTGCTTATTAGAGAGGGGTGCTTATTAGAGAGGGACATGCTTATTAGAGGGGGGTGCGTAGTGCTTATTAGAGAGGGACATGCTTATTAGAGGGGGGTGCATATTAGAGAGGGGATGCTTATTAGAGAGGGATACTTATTAGATAGGGGTGCTAATTAGAGAGTGGGGTGTTTATTAGAGAGTGGGGCATTTATTAGAGAGTGGGGTGCATATTAGAAAGGGGGTGCTTACTACAGAGAGGGGTGCTTATTAAAGGGGGAGTGCTTATTAGAGAGGGGTGCTTATTAGAGAGGGACATGCTTATTAGAGGGGGGTGCGTAGTGCTTATTAGAGAGGGACATGCTTATTAGAGGGGGGTGCATATTAGAGAGGGGATGCTTATTAGAGAGGGATACTTATTAGATAGGGGTGCTAATTAGAGAGTGGGGTGTTTATTAGAGAGTGGGGCATTTATTAGAGAGTGGGGTGCATATTAGAAAGGGGGTGCTTACTACAGAGAGGGGTGCTTATTAAAGGGGGAGTGCTTATTAGAGAGGGGTGCTTATTAGAGAGGGACATGCTTATTAGAGGGGGGTGCGTAGTGCTTATTAGAGAGGGACATGCTTATTAGAGGGGGGTGCGTATTAGAGGGGGGTGCGTATTAGAGAGGGGATGCTTTTAGAGAGGGGTGCTTATTAGAGAGGGGATGTTTATTAGAGAGTGGGGGCATATTAGTGTGGGGGTGCTTATTAGAGAGGAGATGGGTGCTTATTAAAGAGAGGGGTGTATATTAGAGAGGAGATTCTCATTAGAGAGGGATGCTTATTAGAGGGGTGGATTGATGGAGTGTTTATACAACAAACACACAACTTGTCATTACATACTTCCAGCATCTGGTAGAGGGTTCTTTTCAACAGTGTCAACATGTTTCAAACTACTTTTATCAAAACTTTTTACTTCAGCTCTTGATTCGACTAACTCTTCTTGGATTGCTAAGAAAATACAAGATAAAAATAAAACAGACTGTCCTGGTTGACTAACCAACCAACTCACCAACCACACCCACTGTCAGACTATGTGGTAAGACACACCATACCTTTTTGATCTGGTAAAACAGATTTCTCGGTTGTGTCGACTTTTTTCAAATTGTCTTTATCAAACGTTGTCACTTCCGATCTGTCTGGTTTCACCTTCGGCATTCGAGACGCCACAATATCTATAAATTAAAATAATTTAATAATTATGCCATCAAAAATACAGATTGGGGAAAGTGGAAGCACTATTTCCCGCAGCAGACAGCTCTGATGACTACAGGAGTGTATTGATGTCAGGAATATAATTTGGATTAGTGTTAGAGTTAGTGTTAGGATTATGTTTATGGTTAGAGTTTGCATTAGGGACATATTGAAATTAGGACAAGAGTTATGTCAGGTCTAGAGTTACAATTGGGATTATGATTGCAGTCCTTGAAACTCAGGTCGGCATTCGGCAATGCCAATCTAAATGCCAACCTGCAAAGCGATATGTGTAGATTTAGGTCGGCAAGATTTTGCCGACCTACTTTCAAATACGTCTCTGCATTTTTTTCCGTGAACCCATCTTTCACATACGCATTTTCAACGATGTTTTAATTATCAGGTTTTGATCATTAGCTTGCATAGTCACATTGCAGTTTCATTGTTGAAAACTTTGAAAAGTAAACATGCGTATTAATATCGTCGAGCTCCAAGATTTAAGCGAAAGTATATGGTAATAAAGTAGTGTACAGTCTGTCACAACATTTGGTCACAACATGCACTGTTCAATTGGAGTTCATACATTTTGTTAGTTGTTTTGTTTGCTATTGCTGTTGATTGCAATTAATTGCAGTTCATAAATACACGTATTTGCAGCAAGCAAATTAAATTTTCATTTGGATATTTTCTATTTGTTTTGAAAATATTTGCCGACCTAGATTGAGAATTATCGCTTTTAGGTCGGCAAGTTCTTGCTGACCTGAAATTTCGGGAGTTTCAAGGACTGTACGTGATTGAGCAAATTTGAAGTTACCTCCAGCAGTAGGTAAAGGATTCTTCTCCACTGTGTCAACATGTTTCAATTTATCTTTGCTAAATTCTTTTACTTCTGCTCTTGAATCAATCTTCTCTTCCTGGATTGCTGCAAAACAATATCATTGATAGTAATAATTCAAACATTAGGATACATGCAGGTCAGTATAAGATTTCCTGGTGAGGTAAGAAGAAAAGATATCAAGATCTTGAACACAGAGTTCTAAACTCATGAACTAGTAGTAACAGAGCATTAGATTATTGAGGTACTTTAAAGTTTACTATTTCCATGAAAATATTTGATATTCTGATATCTTTTTGTACACATGCATGTATGATTACTAAAGTAAAATGTAAACATTTAAGATGGTCTTCTTGACACAATGGTATTAAATTATATACATGTGCCCAAATACAAAGACTTATTGAAAATAATTTTCCTGGGGAAATACACACCCCTTAGAAAATAATCTACTGTATCTCTTATTCATGACTCTAATCCAGAGATTAGACAGGAATATTGTTTCCTGTTAGTAAAAGCCTCTTATAAACAAGGTGGTGTATTTCCCTTTAAGAGGTAAATCTAATGCTCTGGAGTAAGTTGATTGTAAGCCATTTAGCCCAATCCTGGGTTAATGAAAAATTTCAAAGCAATGAACGTATACATGCAACTTGCTTATAAGCTTGGCAATATTTTTCCAAGAATCATGTCAGGATCAATAGAATTTCTACACAAACATGCACAAATACACAAACCAACACAGAGGGTTAAATTAACACAAGGTTAGCTTTAATCCAGCTGTGAACAATTCTAAAAGATGTACATACTTGATTTATCTGGCAAAACATTTTTCTCTGTCGTTTTTACATGTTTCAGTTTGCCTTGATCAAACGCAGTCACCTCAGAACGATCTGGCAAATCTCCAGCAGCATTCTTCATCTCTTGATAAACATCTGAGGAAGGTTATGAAAAGGCTTGATACAGTTTTTCAAGCAATAGTTGGTGATGAGACCATGCCATGCTAATTTTTAATGATTTACTTTATTCACGGGTTCCTAGGTTTTAGAAATGTATTGTCTTTAACCCATTGAGTCACATTGCACCCTGATGCGCCCAGTCTAATGACAGACAATTTTACTCATCAAGGAGAGTACTGGGTTAACCTATTTAAATGCAGGTTTATTAGCATGACCAGTTGCCAGTTGCCATCATAGATATCTTATATACACTAGATAGTGCATCTAATTATTCTGCAATTCAAAAATTGAAGCTGTGATTGCAGACTCAGGATGAGAAGACTCGTATGTTTCTATTTCTTAAACAGGGAACTTAAACATTAAGTTAAACCTATTCCACAACATTTTCAACTATACAAATGATGAAAGTTATTGTTGTTTTTTAAGCGTTTATCAGCGAGTGGGAAACTCCAACATGGCCGCCATAGTGTAAGGCCGCCATATTGTAAACAGGGCTTAGCTAAATAGGTAGTCCAAGAACCAAAAAAGTGGTATGAGTACCAATTTTATCTGTGTCGTACCAAAAATTGAGCGTAGTGTAAACGGGGCTCGAGTCAAAGATAATTTGTAAGAAAGTTAACCATTGGCTTCAAGTGGTATATTCTATAAAAACCCTGCTCATGCATCTTTCACCTTCCATAACTGGGGTTAAACTCCTGCAATATACAGTTGTCTCATTATAATTTCACCTCATTTGCATGCGAGAAGAATGCTTCTAGTTTGACTCTGCCAAACACGACAGATCTAATGATTGAATAAAAGCACCTGCTTTTAAAACAATGATCATTACTAACAGCATGTAACTTGATCTGGCACAAAGCACTGTATATCTAAAACACTTCTCATACACTTCATAAAAAAATTATTCCACATGCTTTAATCCTAATACCACATGGTGTTTAACCCATCAAGTGTCAGTACTCTCCCCTTCAGGAATAAAATTGTCTGACAGAAAAAAGTAACAAAGTAGGGCACATAATTTGGGGAATTACAATGCAACTTTGAGGGTTAAAAATAATATTTTGTCTGAAAAACAGTCTGAAACAGGATGTTGATGGAGATATAATATATACGACTTTGGATTGATTTTATTCAACATTTCATCACCATGCGTGCCAGAGGTCTCCCTTATGCGCCTTGCAACGATGTGGTGGGTTAAAGCATAGAGAGAGAGGGATGTGGTAAATGTCTTTATGCCTGGCTAGGGTTTCTCAAAGTGACATGTCTGAGCATGTATAAACGATGGTTTTCATGATTGATATCCATGATGATATCATGCACATGATCTTTGATTTACTTTAAGTTAAACTATAACCAGACCAGATCTCACTGAAACACGGTCATGGATTCTGTCCGAACTACCCAACAAGAATTACAGTAAAAATACTTTGACATTTCGAGTTTAATTATCAGAGGACCAAAGTTATTGACAAAGGGTCTTTCTGACACAAACTGCAGCACATTGAAGAATACTTCCTACAATTGGACTTCTATCTTTCCGATAACATCTGAATTGGACATCAAAACAAGGCAAAAAAGGATTCTTTAAACTTATATTGGCACACAATAGCACCGACATATGCATTTACCACAAATATTTTAATGCCGTCATATAAAATTCATAGCAGCCCTAAAATAATAATTAATTATCCCATGGCAATTTTGCTATAATCAGCTCTAACAAAATACTAAAATAAACATTATTAATGCTATACAGTAAACAAGTTAGAAACTTTGAAGTCTTTTCATATTCAAAATTCTTGCATAGTTTAGGATATAAACAATCGAGTAACGTATTTTAGAAAGATAGTTTTATACAAATTCAACCATTATAAACAAATTGTACATTTCACATGTATAGCAACTTATTGTCAAGCTTTTGTACATTTTGAGGACATTTTAGAGGCTTACTGACAATGAATGGCTAAAGTTAGCCCATTTCGGCTTTCTTTCATAGATCCCCAACCATGACGCAGTCCTAGAGAGTCAATAATCCTAACACTTGCAGGAGTCAAAACAAAACACAATAGATAGCTAAAGGAACTTTACCTTGACTTGAAGGAAGTGCGTTTTTAACCTCGGTTTCCACATGATTTAGTCGTGCTTTATCGTAAATTTTTACCCCTTCGAATGGTTTATTCTTTTTCTCCTCGTCAATAGCTATAAAAGTAGATAGTTTAGCTCTGCCATGGCTTAAAATACCAGTCATTACACAAATTATCATGCAGCGAATTGCGAAGTAGCTTCTTTTATGAATGTTCAAACTACCGTGCAAAAACGTGCGTGACAAAAGGCCTTTCAAAACTTTATTTCTACTTACTATCTTTCGATGGAATTGGGTTCTTCTCAACCGTTTCGACATGTTTTAAGCATTTTGTGTCGAAATCTTTCACTTCTGATCTGTCGGGGAAAACATCAGGGGCCAATTCTTGTTTGATAGCTAAAAGTACAAGTCAAATTTTAATGTACATACCACGCGTTTTAAATTTTAATGCATCACAAATGAAAGCATGTATTTGTCCTATCTAACCAGGACTACATGTTGAATTAAAAGACCAGCTGTTCTTGGTAAAATAATTGCCTAAAGGTAGGAATGTTTTGTCCATTGCATTAAATATTCTATGAAAATATGCAGCCTCGTGAACTTCAAACAATTTTGATGCTATAATACGCACAACACAAACAAGGCAACACAATATAAAACGGACTCTCTAACTAAGGATAATGGCCATGAAATAGTGTGAGAATAAACGGTTTAACAACAAGGTGAAAGACTTAGAGTTCTTTTAGCTTTGTACATGCAATTAAATGCACTGGCGGCCCAGGGAGTCATAAGATGAACTCAATTATAGCTTACTTTCATCGTTTGGAAGAGTGTTCTTCTCCGTCGTTTGAACGCGTTTAAGTTTGCTATGATCAAAATCCTTCACTTCTGAAACATTGGGTTTATCTGAAGCCATTTTGAGTGTAAAATTGTCCAGGAGATGCGATTCTTCAATGTTGTTTTGGCAGCAGCGCAGAGGAAGTGTGCTCCTTTTGGTTACTTTATAAGAAAACCCCCGCCTATGAAGAAACATCCGGTTTTTGCTCATATATGGTCAGGCACCCGGTGATTAACTCCATATATAGCCCGGGTGTATAGCCCTCATTGGCCAAACATACACCCGTAACTAGGCCTCATAAGGGCTCAAAACCTCTCTATACAAGGAGGAAAACAATTTTCCAATTTCCGCCATGACTAAAAAAGTTTGTCATTTTTCCTAAATGTGCCACAATTTAGCACTTAGTACATTTGATCCTCTTGCAACGAAAGTTTTCAATTCCGCCATTGTGAGACCGACTTCCGGTATAAAGTAGTTATATAGGCAGGCAAAAACTCTATGTTTGGTAATTTGACTGATGTTAGAAGTGTTGGATTTTTTATTGGTGGAAAAAAATTGGTTTGTTACTAAATAAGCTATTCAGAAACCACCATCGTCGGCACCGAAATAATTTTAGCATTAATTAAGAATGCTATTTGTCAAACCGCATAACTTTGAGGCCATAACCCCGGTATACCTGATGGTATGCATAAATTTGTCAAAAACTTTCCATCATGGTGGGATATTTTTGAAAAAAATAGTTTATCACTAACGTCCCCCCCCCCCCCCCC